TTGTTCTGTATGTTTAATGTTTTGATTATTATGTGCTGAGGGGACTTTTTTTTTGAGGGTGTGGATCCAGCCTATTTGGTGTTCTGTAAGCTTCTTGTATCTTCATAGGTATTGATTTCTTTAGGTTAGGAAAGTTTTCTTCTATGATTTTGTTGAATATATTTTCTGTGCCTTTGAGTTGGTATTCTTCTCCTTCTTCTATTCCTATTATTTTTAGGTTTGGTCTTTTCATGGTGTCCCAAATTTCCTGGATGTTTTTTGTTACTACTTTTTTGGCTTTAGTGTTTTCTTTGACTGACGAATCTATTTTCTCTATTGCGTCTTCAGTGTCAGAGATTCTCTGTTTCATCACTTGCATTCTGTTGGTTATGTTTGCATCTGTAGTTCCTGTTCCTTTAGTCAGATTTTCTATTTCTGCATTCCCTCAGTTTGTGTCTTATTTATTGTCTCGATTTCAATTTTCAAATCTTGAACTGTTTCCTTCATCTATTTAATTGCTTTTTCTTTGCTTTCTTCCAATTTTTTGTTTGTTTTTTCTTCCATTTTTTTAAAGGGAATTTTTCATTTCCTCTTTAAAGGAGTTGTTCATTTTCTCTTTAAGGGCCTCTATCATTTCTTAAAGTCATTTTTAGGACTGATTTCTTCTGCTTCTGCATTTGTATGTTCAGGTCTTACAGGTGTAGAATTGCTAGGTTCTGATGTTGTCATATAGGTCTTTATGTTGTTGCCTGTATTTTTGCACTGGCGTCTATTCATCTCTTCTTCTGCTCGGTGCAGGCAGTGTCTGTGTCTGAAGGTGCCTCCCTTGTTCCAATTGATAGTCTTGGTCCACTGGGAGTTCTCGGTTGAATCGGTGCTGTTAGGTTTCTGTTTCTCCGGGAGCAGCTTAGTCCGATCAGTGTTAGTGGATTCTGTCTCAGGGAGCAGCTGTTCCCAATTGGTGCACGGTGCGCTTATGATTCTGGTGATCTGGTTTGGTGGCTGGACAGCTCCTTCTCTTGTGTTCTCAGGTCACGTTTTGCTTGCTTACCAACTCCTCAGCTGATCGGCTATGGCTCCTTCCCCGAGTCCTGGGATTAAAGGTGTGTAATCAGTCTGCATCTCTCCACGCCACCGAGAATGTTCTCCAGCCCAGCCTGGACTTCTGTGGTCGTTGTTTTTCAAGACAGGGTTTCTCTGTGTAGCTTTGTCGCCTTTCCTGATTCTCATTTTAAGCATGTGTTTATTTGTATCTGTGTTCATTGGTGCATGCATGCACACAGTGGAGCGGTTGTGGACGTCAGAGGATAACCCTCCGGAATGGGTTCTCTCCCTCTATGCAGATCTCAGGGATCAAACTCAGCTTCAGACTTGCCAGCAGATGCCTTTATCTACTGAGCCATCTGACCTCCCAAAGTTTATAAATTCTTAGAGAAATGAAGTCAATAGTCAATACTCTTTGTTTTTTGTTTTTTGAGACAGGGTTTCTCCGTGTAGCTTTGCGTCTGGTCTTGAACTCACAGAGATCCGCTTGCCTCTGCCTCCCGAGTGCTGTGATTAAAGGCATGTACCACCACCGCCCAGTTAAGTCAATACTCTTATTTCTTTCCTTGGGAAAGGCTCTTTTTAAGTGGTACAGTTGGGCCTCAAACCGGCTTTTCTCCTGCCATTACCTCTTAGTGTACTTACTATTACTCCTTTTATTTTTTGCAGAACTCTGATGGTTGAGAGACTCTGTAAATATGATCGTGGTAATCAGAATAGAGAAACCCACCAACAGAGTCCAGAGCATATTGTGAATGAAAAAATGCCTCCTGCAATAACCGAGTGTGAAAGAGACATCATTGCTCATTTCCCCTCAGACACACACTTCAAAGGCAAAACTGGTGAGAAGCCAAACCAGTATCAGGAACATATGGAGAAGACTTTAAAATATAAGAAATGTTGGAAGGATTTCAGTTATTCTGAGTTGCTTCAGATACATAAAAGCCCTCTTATGAGACAGATACCTTATGAAAACAAACAATCTAACGAAGCCTGTAGGAGTTTCACTTCCGATCATGATTATGAGGGAACTTACACTGAAGAGAAATCTTACATTTGTAAACAATGTGGGAAAGCATGGAGTGATTCCTGTAGCCTTCTCTGGCATGAAAAAAGTCACGTTCAAGAGAAACGGCACACATGTAAGCAATGTGGAAAAGCATTTAGTCGTCCCTCACAGCTTCACAAACATGAAAGAATCCACACTGGTGAGAAACCTTATGTATGTACACATTGTGGAAAAGCATTCATTGATCGCAGAACGTGTTGCAATCATGAAAGAACTCATACTGGAGTGAAACCCTATGTTTGTAAACAATGTGGGAAAGCCTTTCTTCGTTCCTGCCAACTTCTCATCCACGAAAGAATTCATACTGGAGAGAGACCTTTTGTATGTAAACATTGTGGAAAAGCTTTTACCTACTCCAGTGCTTGTTATTATCATGAAAGAATTCACACTGGAGAGAAACCCTGTGTTTGTAAGCAATGTGGGAAAGCATTTAAATGTTCTGCATACCTTCACATACATGAAAGATCTCACAGTGGAGAAAAACCCTATGTATGTAAGCACTGTGGAAAAGCCTTTGCTTATGCTACTGGATGTCACAAGCATGAAAGAATCCACACTGGAGAGAAACCATATATGTGTGTGCAGTGTGGGAAAGTATTCAGTTTCCCTAGATCCCTTCACATACATGAAAGATCTCACAGTGGAGAAAAACCCTATGTATGTAAGCAGTGTGGGAAGTCTTTCAGTCAGGGAACTTCTTTGAGAAGACATGAACGAATTCATACTGGAGAAAAACCTTATGTATGTAAGCAATGTGGGAAGGCCTTCATCCAACGGGATGATTGTTATAGTCATGAACGAACTCACACTGGAGAGAAACCATACATGTGTGCTCAATGTGGGGAAACGTTCACTTTTTCCAAATCCCTTCAAATACATGAAAAAAATCACACTGGAGAAAAACCCTATATATGTAAGCAGTGTGGAAAAGCATTTACCTGTTCCACATACCTTCTTAGACATGAAAGAACTCACAATGAAAAGAAACTCTGAATAATATTTCTACCAGCGTAAATCGTGGGAATGTCTGACCTCAACTTTTTTTTTTTTTTTTTTTTTTTTTTTTTTTTTGGTTTTTTT